TGTGTGTGAGTGCGGCACTGCACGGTGCAGGGTGCTGCAGCGCTGCGGGGCTGCGTGTGAGTGCAGCGCTGTGGGGCTGCTGCATGTGAGTGCGGCTGCTGCATGTGAGCGCAGCGCGGGGTGCTGCAGCGCTGCAGGGCTGCGTGTGAGTGCAGCGCAGGGTGCTGCAGCGCTGCAGGGCTGCGTGTGAGCGGGGCTGCTGTGTGTGAGCGCGGCGCTGCACAGCGTGGGGTGCTGCGGGGCTGCAGGGCTGCGTGTGAGTGCAGCGCTGAGGGGCTGCTGCATGTGAGCACGGCGCGGCGGGAGCTGCGGTGCTGCAGGGCTGCGTGTGAGCGGGGCTGCTGCAGGTGAGTGCAGTGGCACGCAGTTGCACACAGTTGCACGCAGTTGCACGCAGCTGCACGCAGCTGCACGCAGTCGCTGCAGTCGCACGCAGCTGCACGCAGCTGCTGCAGCTGCACGCAGCTGCACGCAGCTGCACGCAGCTGCACACAGTTGCATGCAGCTGCACACAGTTGCACGCAGCCGCACACAGCCGCACGCAGCCGCACACAGCTGCACGCAGCCGCCACAGTTGCATGCACCGCTGCAGTTGCACGCAGCTGCACGCACCACTGCAGTTGCACGCAGTTGCACGCAGTTGCACGCAGTCGCCGCAGTCGCCTGCAGCCGCATGCACCGCTGCAGTTGCACACAGCTGCACGCAGCTGCACGCAGCCGCCGCAGTCGCATGCACCGCTGCAGTTGCACGCAGCTGCACACAGCTGCACGCAGCCGCCGCAGTCGCACGCCGCCGCCGCAGTTGCACACAGCTGCACACAGCTGCACACAGTTGCACACAGCTGCACGCAGCTGCACGCAGCGGCACGCAGTTGCACACAGTTGCACGCAGTTGCACGCAGCCGCCGCAGTTGCACGCAGCCGCTGCAGTTGCGCGCAGTTGCGCGCAGTTGCGCGCAGTTGCGCGCAGTTGCACGCAGTTGCACACAGTTGCACGCAGCTGCACACAGTTGCATGCAGTTGCACGCAGCTGCCGCAGTTGCACACAGCGGCACACAGCGGCACACAGCGGCACACAGTTGCACGCAGCCGCTGCAGTTGCATGCAGCTGCACGCAGCTGCACGCAGCTGCACGCAGCTGCACACAGTTGCACGCAGCTGCACACAGCTGCACGCAGTTGCACACAGCTGCACGCAGTTGCACGCAGTTGCACACAGTTGCACGCAGCTGCACACAGCTGCACACAGTTGCACACAGCTGCACGCAGCTGCACACAGTTGCACACAGTTGCACGCAGCTGCACACAGCTGCACACAGCTGCACACAGCTGCACACAGCCGCTGCAGTCGCACGCCGCTGCCGCAGTTGCACACAGTTGCACACAGTTGCACGCAGCCGCCGCTGCAGTTGCACGCAGCCGCCGCCGCCGCCCGCAGGACGTGCCGGTGCTCTTCATGCGCTCGGACGGCGGGCTCGCGCCCCTGCAGCTGCACACAGCTGCCGCAGTCGCATGCACCGCTGCAGTCGCACGCCGCCGCCGCAGTTGCACACAGTTGCATGCACCGCTGCAGTTGCACGCAGTCGCACGCAGTCGCACGCAGTCGCACACAGCTGCATGCCGCCGCCGCAGTCGCATGCACCGCCGCAGTTGCACGCAGCCGCCGCAGTCGCCCGCCGCCCGCAGGACGTGCCGGTGCTCTTCATGCGCTCGGACGGCGGGCTCGCGCCCCTGCAGCGCTTCGGCGGCGCCCGCGCCGTCCTC